TATGATGTATTACATGCAATTCACGTTGCACACACGGAGCCAATCTCTGACGCAGAACTGTTACAGCGATTGGCACTGTTTCCGACGCTCCATCTGAAAGTGGCAACGTATAGAAAGCGATTACGAAATCGTCGGCGAGAACATTGCGTTGAATTATTGGCGCGTGCGCCAATTGTCTTCATAGGCTTTATTAGCGTAGGTAATAACGCAACGTAGCTGACGTCTCTTTTACAAAAGGTAGAAGCATTTTTAAACCCACCCAGTGAATCTCTTTTTACAAGTGGGGTGCTACACAGGTCACAGGCACAAGTAAAATATTGGGGTTATTCAACATGCTCAAAGGGAAGGGAGTGAAGTGCCCTATGCCGTGGTGAGCACGTGTCTATCAAGTCGTGCGGTCAAATATGAGACTGCTCTGAACCCCCAGCCCCCTCTACCACGGGCCTCCCATTGTATCATAAAACCACACAATTTGTGTGAATTTACTTGTACTTAAGATACCCTCAAGCTGCATATAGGTTGTATAGTAATGGCAACACATTCACGACAATGGTCCAACGTATCTGCAGCAGGACAGCCCTAACACCAACCAACCACCCTACCCAATCCCAACGACCACATCCACAATTAAATTTTGGAGTAAAGTCGCTCAAGTTTGCCATTAGCTCTCGCTGGCGTCAGAACGATTTCAAGACTTATGACAAATACATTACGGGAGAGAAAGGAGATTTGAAAGGTAGATTTTCAACAAAAGCAATCCGCGGCTTTTAAAAGAAAATCCACTTCCTGCACATAATTTCTACGAGAAGATAAAGGAAAAGCGATGTCTCTCCTCGTTTGATGTGCCCGTGAGCTTGCAAATACAATTTTACTGTCGTATTTCTGCCTTGAGAACGAAAATGATATTGAATGTTATTCAAAGTCAAGTCGGTGGTTGGATGGGCAATCGCAATGGTCTTTTTGTTCTTTTGTGTGAGACGCAAGTCTAGATGGATATAAATCTGCGCCTTGCTGATCTTGCTCGCCAAATCGGTATTTTACCAAATCCCCTTTTTTCATGGAGATTTGAAATCAATTCTTTTCCAACAAGAATGTAATTCACATTTTATCGTTTATCCATTTCACAGTCATGACAGTGGTTTGGTTCTTCTTTGCTACTGCTTTATGTATGGTTGTAACAATGTCTCTTTTGATCGTGAATGTTTCTGTCATAATAATAACTAAACACATGATGATGAAAATAATGATGTTTTTTTTTTGGTGTAGTTCATATTATGATGATACAATGTATCAACGCGCTTCCAAGGTGCTTTTGAAAATTATGACCCCAGTTCAACTCCGTTACCTGCTACCAAAACACATCGCGTGTCCTGGAATAAATCTTACGGAGTACTCAATTACCATGGTTACCTCGATTACTACACCTGGGTGGAGAGTGGCAAAGTTAATGTAAACTAATGGCTGCCAAAGATCATGTCATGGCATAGCTACATCCAACGACCTTCGCATTTCGAATCCGAGTACCGCTCGAATCCGACAAAAACAATAGTCTCGATCATTTGAGCATCATGACATTTTGAGAAGCAGTACTTTAAGAAAGAAGATAATATAATACAGTAGAAATGTGGAGCTGAAAGTACATATTGAGAATCACTGCTACACTGAAACTTCAGAATGTGTTTGTTGAAACATGGACATACCCATGGTTGAAATAACATGGATTTTGGTTAAATATAAATACAACGTTGATTGAGCGTAAATCTATGGCTCATCGTGTATTGATCAAACTTAAGATCAATCATAACTCTTCATATTACGCGGTCCAGGGTACCGTCTTAAAGAGAGTTGCGATTGATTCAAATCAATCGCAACTTGAAAGTAATCGCAACTCCTATTTATTAAGTACACAGTCGCGACTGATTTTAAGTTGCGATTGATATGAATCAGTCGCAACTCTTTAATACTGGGCCCAGAACTTGTCATATTGTACCTTTGGACAGGTAGTATATATTGATTTTGATCACTGCTACAGGCCTTTCAGTCTATTATCCATTCTGTCTGTGATTGATCGTAGACTGTCTGCAGCCGTGATTACCATCAAAGGCAAACCATCAAGCCATTACCGATCTTTTGTTGAATTGGGTCCTTTGAGATTACCCTCGTCTCCCTACGGACAGACACTCCCTCGGTATTTCGATTGTACCACGTTTGCTCAAGTGACAAATTCCTCCGCGATCAATGTTTTACACGTCTGGAGGAGTACGTCTCATGAATTCTATCCTGGATCCAATACTAACGCTAACCCTAAATCTTCGACGAAATGTAAATCCGGAGCAAAACGTCGGACCCTCGATATTTCCTGCCCACATTATCTACCTGATCATACTGATGGTACCCATGCGCACACTCGTCAAATGTTGTGAGCTCATAAACAAAGTCTACAACTTTTCAAAGCATGGGCTTTAATAAGCTTGATTCTCATAGCTTCAACCCAGCTGGATCCAACACTCTAACTCTAAAATCAAATCTTTGACGATGTCCAAATTCAATCTGAGCTAAATGTTGGCGAAGCAAATGTAGAATATCTCCGATTTGTTGTGCCAATACACACGTTCTGCAAACCTTAGATCAGGTGGTTTGACTCTCAGCTCGTTAACACAGTCTGCAACTCTGCAAAACATTGGCTATATGTTTATCATAACGTGTGTCCTTCATTGCTTCATGCACTGAAACGAGAAAGAAGTGTTAACACAGGCACCAAAGCAAGCTGAAAGGGGTTGTGCACGACACAGGAAACAAATCTCTGAGCAATGGTAACTAGGTTTCCGACATCACTGATTTAATTTATTGAAGCGCAGATAATATGACCTCGCATTAGCCTACAGTAATTTTTCTGGTTCAAGGTCATTCCTTACCGCCATTATTAAAATGATGATGCTATTATTGATGGAAGAGAATAAACCGCAATAATCTCCTTGCTAACGCTGCACCAGACGGAGACGTTGATATGGGTTTTAAGGTACCATCTAAAAGCCACTCAAGATATCAGTTCCTCGACTCACAAATTAGATTTAATTCTTGTAATTTCCGTTAAAATAAGCCTTACAAACACTAAGAATTCATGAATAATGGTTCTTCATTTAGAATATAGTAATATCAATCATATTTCTAAAGTGTTTTTTAGTTAATCCCACAGTTTGTGCAGTAGGTTTCATACATCAGTTGTTACTATGTCAGGTATGTTCAACATCAAGAGTAACCGATGCGATAAACATGTGCATTAGATTTGAATACATGAACTTGTTTTTTGAAGTCCCATTTATTTCTGTCTTTGCTATGGTCATTCTCTCTTTAAGAGCAATGAAAAAGCATCTGCATTGTTGTCGATCATGGTTAAAGATCCTCGCTAGGACCAGCCCAAATTATATGCAGTTTATTTTCATGGTGTGTATCTCAGTGCATTTTAACAGACCTGAGCTAAAGTTCCTTCAGCAATACTGGTTCATATGCGTCTGAAAATATGGATGTTTGTTTTCTTTGAGTATCTTTAGTTGGTAGTCGTATGACCTCAATTACTGCATCTGCATTATCTTGGGGGACAGTACCTTATGTCAAAGTCACATGTTACACCTATGAATACGAATGGAGGAGAAGCAGAGGATTGACTGCAACAGGGTCACTGACACTCCATTTAATAGGCCAACGACTCCAACCATTGTTCCATCTACCCATTTATCAACTCTTTAATTTAACTGCACTTCATAGTGCTGAGAAGGCTTTCAAAGAAGAAACAGCTGAGAATGAAATAGAATTCGAACACAAGGAGAACGAAACCTCGACTAGACACCATCCCCTGATGTTTGAGGTTTGACAACAGAACACTCGATTCAGGTATAATTGGGTCGGTATGGGACGTTACAAATCAAGGGGATTTAGAATCAATCGTGTTGCTCTTAAAATATTTTGAAAAGTTACCCAGATATTTATGAACAACAATACCCAGCTATTGAAAAATTGAGCCGATTCTACAGGGTTCCTTTGTGACGGAGCACGTATCGGGACTACCTGTAGTGATATAATACAGAATACGCCATTGGGTATAAACATGGGATGAAAAAGACCTTTAGTACCTTTAGAATGTAACTGTCAAAACTTCCTTACATCTGCAAGGTAGGTAAAGTACAACAGACAATGGGTGTCATAAGCCATCAATCTACGATGTCTGAAGAATATTGCGAATGGTTTATGAAACATGACTTTTATGATCACAGTGACACTCTTTGTAGAAAATACCTTTTTCTTTTTGATAATCAATACATACAGTCGCGATGACGTCGCTGATTCTATGATTGCTATTTGGAGGAATAGCGAGCTTCTCAGTATACGGAAGGTACATCCTGAACATGTTTGTGAAGATATCAACTCAAACGAAGTTCAGGGAAATAATTGAATGTTGTTTCTGGCGTTTCTAGAATTAAAGAAGTTCAGACTCTTGGTATAGAAAGGTGTACTGCGATAGTGAGACATTGAATTGGAACGGATTTTAGTGGATGAGATGGGCGTTGGTGTTTATTGCGTGTCTTAAAAAGGGCTCGTTAAGAGAGATCTACGTACTTGCACAGGACAAAGTAGCTTAGAGAGGGTTTGTCAACCAAGTCACCAGGAGTCGGGGACGACTCGATGGCACCTATCACAACAGAAAGGGCTACCAGATGCCTGAACCAAAATGAGTGGTAGCCATATTAGCGTTCGAGTTATATCAGGGCATTGCAAAATCAGGAACGATGAACTGTCTGTGTGGTGCAATCACCTTCGAAGATTCTACATGAACTTCTACATGTTTCCGTTCTTTCCAAAGGCCACACTGATGTTAGTTTGCCTTGAATATACCAATATGCAGTCACTTTGTTTTGTAATTTCTTTGTCGAGGTAATGTCTCTGTCTTGTTCTTCCTAGCCTAACAAATGATCATGCCACTGTTTTACTTTTATATCTTTCAGAGTTCATCTGGACCCGGAGTGACACAGCAAGATGGATAAACTCCTCCCAAGTCTCATCCTGATGTCCCTTTTTCTTGCCAGTGACGTCGCTTCTCAGTTGGTCGATCTGTCAACACCATTGGCCACCGACTTCCCACCAGAACACCCTACAGACATCAGAACTGATACAATACTCGTTGCAGCTGGTGGCACAAGAGGAGATGGAGTGATAGATGAAAGAACTAGCACAGACCTAGCAGAGACGACAATCCCGAATAAGGAATTCAAATCAACGTCGGTACAGAGCGTTGGTAAGGTCCACTCGGGTTGGCCCACCGCTTCCACGAGGACAAACTTTACTGCTGGCGCTGCCATCAAAGCGTTTTTAGTAGAATCAAATCCAGCGGAAGGGGACACGATAACGCTTAGTTGCGTTGTGTTAGATCCAACAATCTTGACAGCGTCTTGGTACAAGGTGGAGCGATTGAGCACGCACGATATTCTTGCTCCTGCAGCGGACGTTCAACGCATGTCAGTATCGCACGATACGTCAGACGATACGCGTCGCATTTTTAATCTGACGATCGAATTCGTGCATAGTAATGACAGCGGCGAGTACACGTGTCGGGGCATCAACCGCCCTGGAGCAGCAGCAACTCTCGACATCACAGTCAGGTACGTGCCGGAGTTGCATTACCCAGAGTGCTACCTGAATGGCAAAAGACAAGCAGCAGTAGTGGAAGGTGATACTTTAAGATTTGAGTGTCAGTCGGAGAAGGGAATCCCACCATGGCATTTGATTTGGTTTCGACAACTTAATAAAAGCATCGATGTGATATCCACACCAATCGAGGATCGCTCGGAATTTATTTTTAGTGAACATTCTGTCGTGGCGACACCTGAATTGACTGGTGCCACGTTCATATGTTCGTTAGTATGTTTATCGCATGAGTGCCTCAAGTCGAACAGGAACGCTCCAAGGAACTGCAATATCGGACCCTTGATCGTCAATAAGCGGCCCTCTCCCACGACGCCGGAGATCATCACCATTGACCCTGGGATGCCGATCGCGTCGGAGGGCGACGATATCGAGTTCGATTGTTCGACGACGCTTGAGGACGGCAACGCTGTCTGGTTTCCAATCGGCGGCGAACCACCGCCCGAGGACCATATCATCATCTCTGATGACGGCTCGCACATGGCCATCAAGAACGTGCGGACGAACGATACTGACGTGATGGCATGCGGGATCTTCTGCCAGGAGAAACTGGTCACCGTCCGGCAGGCCAATCTGGAGATCCTTCGCAAACCTATAATCACTCCAGAGCCGACGACGAGGGAAACGACCGCGTCGCCGACAACGACGCTGTCGCTGCCAGCAATATTAACTGTCACAGAGAGACTAAGAAACAATGCAGTGGGTAGGGACAAAAAAAGAGAACAAGATATCCGGACGGAAAGGAGAATAAAAATCAGCACACCTTTAGCACTGATTTTCATGCTCGTTTTATTAGTTATACTCTTGGTTATTGTTGTGCGGCTTAGGAGACATTCGTACCAGAGAGCCGCCACAGAACCGCCCGATATACGCTATTCCGTATGACACGGAACAAGTGTATCAGACTTTTCCTCACAAAGAACACTATAAACAGCTGTGTGAAACCTCAACGTGACATCCATTGGACGTTGCCGGTGTGAGGAGACATTGCCGACTTTAAGAATCATCAGACAACTTCGTGATGCATTGAAAACAACGAAGGGATCTGTGATCTTCTTAAAAGCAAAAAATATTTTCGTTTTGCTTTCTGTGGCGGTACATTATTTTGTGATCTATGCTTCTGTCTTGCATGATATTTTAAAAACATATCTTTATACTATTTTATAATGTAATCATGCGGTCCCATCAATTCTTTACATAATGATATCATGTTATTAAAACATGACCCAACTTGACCTTAATGTTACAAATACCTTATGTTCATTATTCCAATTTGATATACAGACAATGAGGTTTATTCAAAATCAATGAACTACATTGAGCTTAATTATCACCCAAGGTGTGTGCTCAAATTGAATAAATCAGACATCTTTCGATAATTAATCACAATCAAATCTAACTCATTATTCATTAACTTATTCTGATTATTCCTTCAAACATCGTTCAACGAGATGAAACATTGATCATTGTTAGGCTGTTTGGCCCCGAAAAGTACAAGAGATAATTGTGTGAAGTGCCAGGAGTGTAATGTTTGATAGAATATGATCGCTATGTAAGAACTCACTACTATTATCATTATTATCATTTGTTGATTTACGAAAAAAAAATAATTCCTTACTATACTGCCCTTTTCTACGTCGTTTATCTTCATCAATTGTATTTATCTTGCCATTAAACATTTGTTACCTTTTTTTAATACATCGGTGATTGTTTTTTAGGGAAATTACATTTTCAATTGTTTATTCAGTATTCAAAATATTGTTCGGTTAGAGTATGTTCTCTACAAAGACGGTATTTGTATCACCTGTACGATAAAGGATCATATTATTTACCTTAATGGTTCCGTGTCTACAAAAGTATTATGAATTCACATTATAGATTGCCATCATTAAACATTGTATGTAATCATATATCCATGGCAATGAAATTCATTAGCAACATTTATTGCGGGAATCAGTAACAGTAAGCCTTATTGCACGCAAGGAGTCACCTCAATAGACGATTTTCGCAATGTTATCAAATTTAATGCACAAATCTTTGTTACAAATTATTTCATTCACCTGTTACGAATAATTGTATTTTAATAGTCAAGATGCGAGTTGCATACATTAATTGTTGCCAGATAGGACAAACATTATGGCTTATCCTACCTAACAGCACGTAATGCACATGTATGCACTTCGCATTCTGACTATTGTACTCTAATTAATCATAACATGTGAATGAAATAATCTATAACGAGGCACTTATCAAAGATTTGTGCATTACATTTGATGACATTACGAAAATGTCCTGTTGAGTCTTAATTTCGTGCTTCAGTCGAATCCATGTATATGCGCATCCACAAGTAATTCAAAGGTATATGTCTGCACTGTTAGTCTTGTAATTCTTTTGAAAGATGTAACTCTCAAATTGAATGTCAAATACCGCGGCCGTCATTGACGTAACCCTACGTCAGCAAAATAACGTAGTATTACGTCAGGTAAAATGACGTAGTATTACGTCAGGTAAAATGACGCAACTCTACGTCAGGTAAAATGACGCCTCGTATACGAGGGGTATGATAAAATGAGTTAACGGTGGTCTTGACGCTGCGTCATTAACATAATGGTGACGTAATAAGTTTCTATTCTAAATTTCTATTTTGTAATACATGTAATAACATCTATAAAGGTGCTGACATTTTTTATTAGGGGATGCAGAAGTAAACCTGAACGACCTCTTCCCTTTTTATATAGTATTTATATGATTTGGGACCATTGTGGTAGTAGGAATAGAGTTATATCAAATATCACTGACGAACATATTGCAACCTAAGGAACTCGTTGATTGAAAAAATGAAAACCTGTTACTGGGTATGAACTCATATTTCAAGTGATATTTTAATTCCGTATTTTGTTTTTGTTGATATCAGGCATTATTTGTCTTCTGTAGAGATCGTTTGCATGTAATTCACAACCATTCAAAATTTCCCCGGTAGCAATTTTAAAATATCGATCATTTTATGACTAAATAGGAGATGCGTATACAATCTTGTTTCCAAATGCTCCCTATATAACGTGTATTTTGGATTGTATTTTCCGCTTGGAATGTTTATTCTAGTCCAAGCTTTGATTATGCCAATTTTACTCCGCAAAAGAAGAACAAAATAAGATGATGATGTTGTTGTTTTTAATTATGCCATCTGATAACAACTCTCGAGAGGGAAAATATTTGTACATGATATATTAATGTACATTACATCTGGTGTGTGCCTACTTCTTTTTTTTATATTTCATATATGTGTATATGGCTGAAGTGTACATATGATATCGTATCATTTTCTTGATAATCTCTCCAAAAGAAATCGTAAAGATATTTTTATCAAGAAATGATTACTTTACTAATGAATATCATTTCAAAGAATTATGATACAATATATCAAACCATTTCGCAATACCAGATATAATGCCATTTGGTATAATAATGTAAATGAACCCTGGAAATAAGAGTGAGCTTTAAACCTTTAAATTTGACAATTGCAGCTCCGTTGGGGGTTTAATATAGAGCCAAAACTATCGGTAGTTTTTAATAAATTTCCTGATTTCTTATTTCTCAAATATTTATTAAGTTGCACTAATGCATTTTTGTTTCGGTCACTACCTTCCTACTTTCAAGAGAGAACAGATCAAAATACAATGGGTCAAACTTCAATAGTTCAAAAGTATTATAAATAGATACTGTCTTCTTATACCACTGCTTACAGGTGCTGCTACTCAAGAATTTTATTTTTGTTTTATTTTTGGGGGGAATCTTGCATTTATTTTATACACCTGTCTCGCTCAAATTGATTGATAATCAATAATTTGAGGGGGCTTATTAAAGCCCAGTTCCCTTTAGCATTATGATTGCTACGGGAACATTTATAGAGTTCACTGTTCAAAGATTTCATTTTTATTCTGTGAGATTGTAATTAATTCCATTTTAATGCTCGCATGAATCACAACAAATGCATTGTAATATGCCCTTCAGCATTGCGAACACGATCACCTATATCTCAATAAAATTGCATGATTGTGTTAATATTGATATTATCTCCATTTTTACGAGCGAATCACTCAGAAAAAAGTGTCACGCGTGATACATCTTCATCGCACAAGATGAAGCCTTATAAACGACTATAAAGTGCTATTTGAATCGGATGTATTTTTTTTCTCATAAAAAGTTCATCCAATGACATAATTCTGTGTATAGTATTTATCTTAGTATATTTATTATAAACCTGAAAGTACCATTATGTATATAATGTGGATTATGATTATGTCATATATTGTGGCGACGGTATATTTGCCAAGCAAACAAACTCTGTCGCATACATCAAGTGATAAAAAATGTATAACAAAATATATTTTAAATACGAAGAAACAAACGTTTTAAATTGTGAACTTTGTGCTTGTGAGATTGCGTGCTGTTTGTCGTGTAGTCCCATGCCGTGTTTAGACTTTTAAAAAGATGTTTCTGTTTCTAACCATTACTCCTCGGCCTCTGAAATCAATACCATGCTGTTTGAAGTAGATAAAAACAAGTTTTCCTCAGAAAAATTGGCCTGTAGTCATGTAAGCAGACTAAATACAATCGCAACTATTTCCGAAAAATCAACTCGAGGAAATTTCATTACTCTATTGTACATCCCGAAAAATCATTTACGAATTACTTAATGCGTCATCGCCCATCACAATAAGTGACGCATGAAGTGATAGGTTGAATTTTTCGAAAAGAGTTGCTATAACGTTACTAAAACCCGAACTTAAATCATTTTAAAAGAAATTACGATGTACCAAATATCTATTTTCACCTTCCTTATAAATGCCTAAACTTCCAGCGAATTTGTATAAATGAGATGGGTTTTTTAGTTATGAGATCCGTGGAAAAGAAATGAAGGAATTGAATCGTGACACCATTAGGGAGTACACCATTAATACTGATAAGGCTTAATCTTAATATTATTATCATTATTCATTTATTTAGACACAAATTTGGGTCATTTATTCAGGGTGGGAACATTGACATTCGGTGTTCCAAATACCAGTGGAGTGTCTAATAAAATAGAGAAACAGAGCAGAGATGGGAGACAGTGAGAGAAACAGAGGGAGGGGGAGATAGAAAGAAAGAAAGAGATAGAGAGGGACAGAGCAAAGATGGGAGACAGTGGGAGAAACAGAGGGAGGGGGAGATAGAAAGGAAGAGATAGAGAGGGACAGAGCAGAGATGGGAGACAGTGAGAGAAACAGAGGGAGGGGGAGATAGAAAGAAAGGAAGAGAAAGAGAGGGACAGAGCAGAGATGGGAGACAGTGAGAGAAACAGAGGGAGGGGAGATAGAAAGAAAGAGATAGAGAGGGACAGAGCAGAGATGGGAGACAGTGAGAGAAACAGAGGGAGGGGGAGATAGAAAGAAAGAGATAGAGAGGGACAGAGCAGAGATGGGAGACAGTGGGAGAAACAGAGGGAGGGGGAGATAGAAAGAAAGAGATAGAGAGGGACAGAGCAAAGATGGGAGACAGTGGGAGAAACAGAGGGAGGGGGAGATAGAAAGAAACAAAGAGACAGAGAGGGACAGAGAGAGACATAAGGGCAGAGAGAGAGAGAGAGAAAGCGTCTAAAGAGAGAAAGAAACGGGCTGGGGGAATGCGAGAAAATTGAAGATGGGGAACTTAATATGTGAAGGGCCTATAAGACAAAGAAAGAACGGGATAGAAGGATAGGGGAGGGAGGGGATAATAACAATGGAATCTAACAATGGGAAATAATTGTATTTTTCCATATTTCCCATTCCTATTATTTAAAAAATATCTTAACCCGCTCGCATTTTTCACTTTTTTAACATAAGAATGAAGGGTTTTTTTTATACATAAAGATTTAATATATTAAAACGTATAACTTATCAGTATTGCCATGCATGTAGGCCTACATTTTTTTAAATTTATATAGAAATACGTAATCACATAATATTCTGTTAGTTGTCTTTGTCAGGCGCCTTAAATTTGGTTTAAAAAACAAAATGGGCTTGTTATCGCTTTTTATTGTTTGCATAGACAGAAAAATAATGAGATGAATACAAAATAAATATGCATAATCATTTAGGTAAATAGATAGCTGCCTAAAATGAATATCGATGAAGATATTGGGGCAACTTTTATAATCTAAGATTAAGAATCTAATTTTAAGAATCTAAGACAAGACAAGTGAAAAGGGCAACTGCCATTTTGACAATAAAAAATGTTATTGTTTCTTTTGTGGCCCGTGCACGGCATAATCAAATGCAGCGGTGCCCTTTTATATGAATTATAGCTTACTCAATTGGACTACGGGTTAACAACAGAGTACTGGAATTGCCCAGATAATCCTATGATATGTTATCCACTTTGATAATGAAATTTATCAGTAAAATTGACCTTTTGAAAATCCGATTAATATTTTTAATATAATAAGCGCCATAGGCGAGAAACACTGTGCTTGAATCTGCGACCGTCGATTAAAAATGTCAAAAAAGAAGTGTGAAATTAACCGCGAAAAAACTTCTGTGACTGGTTTCTGTAAGATCTAATTTTAAAATAGAGCTAGTTTATTCAGTCAAATTAACAGTCGTCATCAATTTCAATACAGATTTCAAACCTTAAATTGTTAAACCATGCATGATGAATATTCGTAAGTCATAATGTTAGCTATTCATGAAATAGAATAAACAAAAACCGCTTTATTGACTGATTTCGATACATCGCTGTCAACAAATTTCGGCAACTTTTTCGCGCATCTTTTTTCTCGCCGTTGTAGGGTTTTCATATCCAAAAGAGTTAAGGGTCACAGTATGATATTTCATAAAGACTTTCTAACCGGGCTTTCTAAATTTCATATCAATTTTATATTTAATGCACACAAAAACGCGGCTTCAATTGTAGACACGCTTATTCACGCTGATATTGCCCAAAGAAAAAGAAAAAAGAAGAAGATGAATTTGCATTCCGAAACCATAAAAATAAGACTTATTTGGTTTCATTTCGGGGTTTTTTGCTGGTATTCATTCGATATTACAACTATCAATCATGGCGACACTTGAAACTCTCTTGTTACCCGGATGTTGTATCAAGTTTAGTGGAATCACGACAATGGCCTGAAGTGTTTTGTTTGTTTGGAGAAAAAAATAGTTTCGATTTCGCCCTCGATAACCAATCAAATATGTTGTTTCACTATCTATGTTTGTTTTTCCCTTTCTTTCCTTCTTATCCTTCTTCTCGTTCTTCGTGTTGTCCTTCTTCTCCTTCTCCTTCTTCTTCTTCTTCTTCCTTGTTATCCTTCTTCTTCTTCTTCTCCTTCATTTGATCTTCTTTAGGGGTTTTTTCTGGGAAGGAGAGGCGATACAAGAAAATGGCAAATTAAGACAGTCATATTTGTGTTGGTATGATAAAACCAACAGATGGAGGAATTGTGTTGTATGGTCTTTGGGATTTCA